TAAATAATTATTAATATTAGTATTCCGCCAATGGATTAAATACTAATTTACATGGTATTATTCTATTTATTTTTGATACCAAAATGATGAGATAGTAAATAAAAATCAACAATACCGAAATTAATCAATTTATAAAGTCAAAAAGATATCATATAAGAATAAAAATATTTCTTCCCATTTGTTTTAATACAAATTTACTTAGGATTATCCTTTTTAGTTTTCTCTCTGTATATTGACAATTAATGGGCAGCATGAGCTGGCCAAGTGGTTAGTGGTTAGTCTTGAAATGCGATTCTCGCCGACTCGTCCAAGTGGATATTTCTCAGCCAAGTTCTACGATTTTTCCCTCGCCCCCAAACACCGCAGTCCCCGTAATCCCCATCTCCATCCCAATAACAACTGACATTGACCGCCTGCATCGCCGGCCGGCTAACAACACAAGTTGAAAACTTCGAAAACCTCAACTTGAAGCTGAGTCATCATCATTATTATAGCACATTGGTTATAGCATAGCTAGCTAGCCATCGCAGATTCTTTTCGGCCAAGTCAAGTGCAATCGAATTGCAAATGAAGACAAATGAAGTGGCTGGTGGCTTGCAGTTTGCAGCCTCAACCTCAAGGTTGCCTCGCCTCAATGCGGAAAAACATGACAAAAAGGTGGGGAGCCAAGCTGTTAAACTAAAAAAAAAAAAGAAATACAGCAAATAGAAATAGAGACACAGACAAAACTGTCATTAAAATGTAACATAAAAAGCAGCTAATTGCAAACATTTAGTTATGTATGCAAGCTGCTGAAACGACCTCATAAATAACCCACACGACAACTGTCATGGTGAAAATCCAACACCCTCAACCTGCTGATAGTTGATGGTTAGTGAAATATCAAAGGTTGCTGAAGTACTTGCATTGGAAATATAGCAGAAAGTGCTTGAAATATTAATCAAGTTTCAATTCTTCAACTTGAACATGATTAAATTGTGATGGAAATCCCCTTCGAAATGGAAAGTTTTCCATGCGACATTGACACCCAAGGGTCAATTTAAAGCCACAGTCTTTTGATTAATACCAATCTCTCCACGAAACCAATAACCCCCTAATTATAATCCATCCCCGAAAGCAGTTTCCCCCAACCTGTTGTGAAAGTGGCGAGTGGCGAGTGGCGAATGGCGCTTGGGGTTTTTGATTTGGTTTGGAAATTTATGAGGTGCAGAGGAAAAGCCGAAAGGCTGAAGAGGTGGACACGAAACACAACCCACGACCGACCTGATCTGTGTTTACACGCATGCGCCGCTGTAAGTGCCAACAAAGTGCCGGAAAATTTCATACCACCGCTGATGAGTTGCCACAGGAGATGGAGATGGAGAAGGAGATTTTCGGGGAAAACCCGGGGGGTTTCGAGCAGCCGAGACTGCAAAATGGGGAGTGCCCCAGAGCCTCGAAAGTATGGGGAAAATGGATAAGGAATGAAATGAATATCATGGAGTGCGGAGTGTCATGAGTGATCGAGGGGCTTGGGAACAGTTCAGCCGAGATTGGGTGAATATTTGTGAGATGTTTAATCTTTTATTAAAGGAAACTTAATTTTCCTTTAATTAAAAGGCGTATAATATGGATTTTTTAGCTTTAATATGTCAAAAATATATTTATTTTAAAGAGCTAGAGCCTTTGTAGTGTTGGTTAATTCTTATAACTTAAACCAGGCTTGGAAACTATTATGAACAAGTAAGATTATATTTTTTGGGGACTTATGTGAAAGGCTTTCCTAAAATGCGTTACTTTTCCTTTACAAAATTTGATTCCATTTAAAATACAAATTTTGTATTTCCAACCAGTGTTGTATAAATATTGTCTAAGCGTTTCTTGTCGCCTTGATTGAAGAGTACCTCCTCTTGGGATCGCCACTTGGCATTTTTTCGCTGCACTTACAGCGATCGTTTATCGTGCGGCAGCTATTTTTCTTGTATTTTTTCAACTTTGTATTTTTTTGGTGGGGCGCGATAAGTGGGCCTACCCAAAAAGATGATGGCGATGATGATAGTAATGATTATGATGGACGCATTGAGGCGGCCATTTAACGCCCACTTAGACACGCTTCCCATTGCTCCATTACCATTACTCATTGCAACACACAGACACTGAGATGCTCAGATACTCAGATATAGTAACAATGTGTTAATTATACGGCTGACGCCCACGTCGCAATCAGATACAATCGTACGTATAATCAGACACAATCGGTGGGGACTGCAAACTGAAAACTGAAAAATTAAAGAAGAGCCGTGGAGAAAAACTCGCAATTGACGATGACGACGACGATCGCAATGTGCAATTTTGTTGTAAGTGACTAAACAGACATGCTCATGTCATGGTGATCGCACACAGATATGGTTAAATATATATATAAGAGAGGTACACTTGAACACACACCCAGGGATTTTTTTCTTTTTTTTTGTTGTGGGCACGACGCGCTCAATTTAACGCATACGCCCCATTGTACCAAGCCATCTACATGGACCTCTGCCCGAACATCTACATCGTTATCGTCATCAGGGTCATCATGTTACGAGTATACTCCCGTAAAAATATATATATAGATATATGTACATATATATGCCTTCGGTCTTGAGTATTTCGCTAGTTTACTCCACTTTTCCTTTGGCTGATTTTATTGCGCTTTGTCTTTTTCGGCACTTTCATTATTTTGCAAACATAAACAATGAAAATAGTGAGCAGGGCAACATTAATTGGATAATGAATAAAGCAATTGCCACAGGTTTTACTATGTATGTAAGTAAGAGTAAAGAAATAGGGTAATTTACCTTATTTCATATCAATAAATGATTAAAGTCAAATTTATGATTCAAACAAATCAACTTGATAATTTTTTCTGTGTAAAATACTTTAAAAGAAACTTGAAAATTAACTCAAAGTAATATCCATCAAAGTGCCTGAGTAATGTCACCTTCAATTTAACAACTTAATTAAGATTCACCGAGCTCTACTTACTTGCGTCGTCCAAACGTAAACATATTTGTACTTTAAAAAGTTGATTCATTAAACTTGCTCCCATTTTTTTTCTAATCAGTTATTTATGTGCATTAATTTCTTGATATTATTCAAGAGTATTTTAATGGAAATTTAGAAGACAAAAATATAAACTTTATTTGTTCAAGTAAGAGCTCTTAGCATACAGTCAAAGGGCTGAGGAGAGAGAAAGTCATTTTATTTGCTTTGATTTCCAAATCGATACCATTTCTCGTTTTTGATTGCCAGCCTGTGGCTCAAAAACTATGATTGATGGTCCACGGACAGACACTCCAAATCGCCGCCAATTGAGTTGAGTTGTTCGACAATTTCGTATCATTTGATATTGATGTATGGAAAACGCTTATTGTTGCAGAGAAAAAAATCGGTGTACTTAAGATTTTAATAAATATTGAAATCGGAATATATTTAATATTTCTAGACATTATTTAATACATTTAAAGGACTAAACGATTTAATTCAACATCAATCGGTTAATATTTAAATACCTTTTTAACGGTGTCGCTTTTCTTTCCCCATTTGTTGTGGGTTGTGGGTGTCCTGTGTGTGTACGTGATCGATTATCCAGCAGCAAATCGAGGCAATTTCGTAAATTAGCCGAATCGTGCCACCAAATATCCCCCACTCAAATAAATAATAAAGTAATCTATACTTACCACACGACATATCGGCATCGGCGTGTGTTTGACCCATTTCTGGCAGCAAGTCACTATCAAAAGCCAAAAATCGCCGAGACTTTTTCGCTTTGAGCCAAAGAGTCGACGAAACCCAAATTACACTTAACAAACTCATTATGTTCGGCATTTGCCAGTCAAAAAAAAAAAAAGAAAAAAATAAACTACCAGCGGGTGTTGGGCTCAAAAGCAAAAAAAAAAAAAAAAATACAAAAAAAATTGCATGCAGTGAAAACTGTGAAAAATTTGAAGGAAAAAAAACGAAAATACTTACAAGCAGCAGCAACAATTGTGTTGAAACGAAAATCGCAAGCGAGTATGAAAGGCTATTTTGGCTCTGATGAGGGTGGGGTCTTAAATATACAGTATTATATATGGACAAGATGCAGGGAGCTGCAGGGGCCAAAAAAAAGAAAAAAACATTTATGCCTAGAACACAGGCCAAAAACAAAGACACACAAAATTTATGCCAGCTGCCCGGCTCACATTATTATCGACTTTTATCGATACGACATTTGACTGCCCAGCCAGACCCAAAAAAAAAAAATCAAGTAAAAAAACTGCAAAAAAAATACCTCAAAAACCGAAACCCTGGCCAAAAACTAGAGTGTAATTGAGTTGGCATACGACTTCGCATCGCGTTAACTGAATCTGGCCCAAAAATCCAGTGGCCACGAAAAAATGAAATGAAATGGCTAAAAGATGCAAAGATTGAAGGTGCCAGAATTTGGGCCAATGCAAAAGTATTTATCGCATTTTGAAACTATTAACCATTAACCTTACGTTTAATTACAGAAAATAATAATATAAAATTATTATTATAGTTGGCAAAATAATAGGTTTTCTACCATCATCATTTTCAAGCTTTATAATAATTAGAAAAACTTTTAACGACTTAAAATGATTAAAATTTAAAATGATATGATGATTTCTTAAATATTGAAGAGCCTTTAAGTTTTTTAACAAAGTTCTCAAATGATTCGGTTTCTAAATATTTTATGTCTATGGTAAAGGTAGTGACATTAAGTTTTTCCATTGAAATATTGCCAGAGGAAATGTCATCTTCTGCCGCATTTCCTGCTCCAATCGAGAGATCGTTAAAAACTCGAGACGCATGTTCGACAACACATTTCACCACTCGATGTCTCGAACACTTGGCACAAGGGCTCGAAACTGAAAACTCGAAACTGCGCGAAGCTCTTTAAGACATCTCTTCGAGTGGATTTGTATTTCTTTTTGACTGATTTCTGATTTCTCCTCTTCATTTTTGATATTTTTCAGCTGAATTCCCGGAAGAGGACAGCGACATGCTGATGGAGCCGAATGATTTTTCGCCAATCACCGTACTGCGATCGCATGAGCAGCACTTCCATATGCCGCCGACTACGCAACTTCAGCCGCAGCAGCAGATTCCACAGATCCCGCAAAGTCGAATTCAGCCGAGAGCTCAGCCCAGGCAATTTCAATCGGCCGCCGCCCAACAGAGCAATCATCCCGATGAGGAGGAGCAATTCCGACCCATTGCCAATCCAAATACGAAAATAGTGGGCGATTCGCATACGCAGGCGGCCCAGAATTTCTATCCACCGTTCTACCATGAGGCTCCGCCATTGGGCCATTCGAGACCCTACTTTGGACACGGTCCTCCGGTCGCGGAGACGACTCCCTTGAACCTGCCCCTGCCTTTATTGGGACCCCAACAGCAGCAGCAACCGCAACAGGTGGCCACTCAGCAAAGGAATTTCGATGCCAGCATTCTGGGCAGCGGAGATTTCGGTGTTCTGCGCGGCGGAACCTTTTATCCCGAGGAGGAGATGCCCTATCATCCCGAGGACAACAGCGACTACATCTACGGCGATGCCAACAACGGACACGGACGTCCCTCCGAGGGTTTCGTCCAGAAGTACACCTATCCGGAGGAGCAATTCGCCAATTTCCGTGATTTTGCGGACATCAATACACCCGCCGATTCGGCATTTTCGCAATTCGTGGTGGTCTATGCGGCCAAAAATGCCACAGCTCCGCACTCACATCCGCATCCCAAGAACATATTCGAGCAGCTGGAGCTGCTGGACAGGGAGAAGGAGCTGGAGAAGAAGACCAAAACCACCGCCTCATCCAAAAACAAGTCGAAGTTGTCCAAGACAAAGTTGCAGAAGAAGTACCGCAAGAAGGCGGGTCCCAAAATCCAGGATCCCCTGGAAATAGAGCCTTTATTGGCCCTCAGTTAAGCGTCTCTATTGTCTATACAAAAAAAAACAAACAAACAAAATACCTAAAAAATCAAACCCCCATCACCACTTTCGTTTTCCCCCTTGTTAGTTTTATTTATTTTATTTCGAGATGAATGCAAGCCGCCACCACAAAAAGAAAAAGAAGAAGAGCCACCACCCCTATATCTTAATGTTCATTTCCACACAACAAAAAATACAACCTGTATTTCGAAAAATGTATACCACTATACTATATATATCAGTGTTTTTTTTTTGGTCTGTCTGCTTTTTGTCTCGCATCGTTTGTTAATTCTTAATTCCTAGCCCGTAGTCTACTATATCTATATATATATAAATATGTGTCTTTATGTCTTATACGCGTATCTAATGTAATTATTTTTTATCTAATTGAGCATAATTTTATTATGTGTGTGTACATAAAACGAGAAATGTTAAATGTAATTTTAAACCTAAATAAAAACGAAATAAAAAACAAATTACGCGCTTTTTTCTTTGGTATCTTCCTTTATTGCGCCATAAAGGTGGGGTTTCTATATAAAAGCGTAAGTTTTAGTGTCTCTAAGGCGTTTCGTATTTTGCATAAAGTGCGTTGAGTAAAGTTGTAAAAGAGCCCGCTGTGCGAAATATCTAAAAAACAAATGTATATATTTATTTATATAAAAATAAAATTTAGTGTATTTTAATATGCTCACCCAAACGAGTAAAGGTCTTCCCAGTTCGAAAAAATAAGCACCCAGGATGGTTTCGCGTTGAGCTCGTTGCAGGGGAAAAAGTAAAAGTCTTCGGTGTTGCGGAGAAAGTTTTTGCCAAGGAATCACCTCGTAAAGCTGTCTGCCAAATGCCTCAGCCTCCAAACGAACTTGTTCGGCGCCAAAGAGATAGATGCACAATTGGGTGGTGACCACCATGGAAAAGAACCCAAGAAAGGCGAAATTCTGGTCGGTATGTGGCATAATGTACTGGCAAATCACTGAACAATAGAGCACACAGATCACCAGAACCTCAACGAAGGCAATTTCCATAAAGCTGGCATTGAAATGTTGGACCAAGTTCAAGAGACGAGCATGTTCGGCGAAGAGTTTGCCGAAACCGAAATCCGAACGAGATGGATCGGAGTGCTCCTGAATCCACATCAACTGCTGACCAAGGCGACGGTACTGGGAGCTCAGGCCCAGGGCACACCAGCCATATAAGGTGTCCACTCCCGTGGTGGAGCAGCAAAAGAAGCTCAGAACGAACACCATCAGGCAGCAGTCCAGGGCGTAGATATGCGGTTGAGTTACGTCATAGGGAAGGCTGCAATTAAAGTATTTATCCAGGTATATGTTAAAAAAAGTTGTAAAATAATTGTAAAATTAAAAAGGCAATATAATCTTGCAAAACTTGTAAAATGTAATATTTTATGATGTAATATCCCAAACTAATAACCTTTTATTTAAATATATAATAAGAAAAATTTTAACATATTTTAATAAGGCAACATAATCTTCCCAACTTGTAAATTTTAATATTTAATTATGTAATATCCCAAACCAATAACCTTTGGGGTATATATTAGTTATGCTTTTAAGATTTCACTGTTCGTACATATTTTTAAGGAATTATAGAAAAATATTGTAATGAATAATATAATATCCCAAATCAAAAAAAATATATATTAAGTAATATTTTAAACTATTGTTATGAAATATTAGACAAACTTGTAAAATATAATAACTAATGATATAATATTGCAAACCAATATGGATTTGAGAACATAATCCTAAGAATTCACTGTTTCTAAGTATTTATAAAGAAAAATGTAAAAATATTGTAATTAATAGTAGGAACTTTGGAACTTTCATCATGTCTATCACAAAACCACAACTTACATCACCCGAAACGAGCTGACTGGTGCAAATTCCCCCGTCGAATGGTATTTCAGCATGGTCAAAGCCACTGGCATCAACAGAAAGGAGACACTTGTGCCGGCACACATCATGAAGTAAATGGCAGCCATAAGTTGGCCCCTGCGATTCTGGGATCGCCATTCCGAAAGATCCTCGTCCTCGTCGGCGTCCGTAAAAGGCGTCTGAATCAATTGAATGAGGGCCACCAGGTCGTGGGACTTGGCCAAGAATATGGCCATCTTTAGAAGCGAGGAGATCATCTGCAAGCCATGCATCAAGGCCTCCGAACAGAGCACGATTTGGTTGCGATGTTGGACCATAAAAGCGCACACGGTGCAGAGTTCAAAGCCGGTGGCCAGAAACATAATGCCATAAAGAATGGGAGATCGCAGAACTTTGCCCTTTCTATTGCCGCTATTGGGCAGCAGATCCAAGCCCATTCGGGCAAAGGTGAATCGCTGCGTCCAGAGATTCCCCAGAAACACCTCGATTAGCTTTGACATTTCGCCTCTAACTGAAGGGCTGGGAAGCTATAAGGATGACGAAGAAGTGTATTTTAAAGTGTATTTTTCGGGGGGCTGGCCGGTAAAAACTTTGTCAGAAACTCTGTCGTTTGTCGCCTAATTGGGCTCTTAAATACGAGTTAATTTAGCGCCCCGGAGAGGCGGAGAAACTTCGGCTAAGTGAAACTGGTCGACTTGGCCAGCAAATGATTTAATTATACGCCCGGGGCGACTGTCCGTCTAAAAAACCACCCAGCACCACCGCAAAACGCACCACTCACACTTATTCTTTGCACGGTGGTGCTAGAATAATATTTGTAAGTTATATATATTTAAATTTTTGAACATTTAAACTTATTTTATAAATACTAAACTTTTCTTAAAGAAGAAATTAAAGAATTTTGTTCTTTTTTTAATATTATCTTATGAATAAGATTATTATATTAAAAATATTATATACATATTTTAATATAATTATTATTACCTTATATTATAAACATTTTATATTATAAATACTTTAATATCCTTCACCGCATCACTCACACTGATTCTAAGGACAGTGGTGCAAGAATAATATTTTTATTAATTATATGTTTATTTATTTTTTAAATATTTAATTCTCCTTAAAAAGTATAAGAATTTGTATTATCATATAAATACTATATTATATAAAAAATATTATTTACATATTATATTATAGATACCTAACTCTTCTTCTAAAGTACAAGTATTTTTTTGAACATCTTTTTCATTTTTTTTTGTTTTATTATTATTTTTTAATTTTTTAATTTTATTTATTATATTATTTTTGGCCCACTGTGCGCCGTTCGTCATGGCTAACGGTAACGCTTTGCTGCTGGTCTTACCGACTTATTTTTATAGAGATATATGTACGAGTCGCTTATATCTTTCTACGACCGCTGCAGTCATGGTCATTGTCCGCTAGCGGTTCTTGTTGCTGTGGGCTGACTTTACCGACTCTACGCGACTTTGCTGCTGGTTTTGCATTGCGTTTGTTTATCTATTCCCGACTTTGGCATATGTTTTGACATTTGGAGGCTGGCACTTAATTTACGGCCTCACCTTAGTTCCCCCAGTCATTTTTTGCGAGAATTGCATATGCGATATATGTACGAATGCCAAAGTCGAAGAGAGAGAGATCGGTTTGTAGTGCGTAATGAATGGACTTATATATGTATAAGTACATCTGGTCTAAGTATTTTTAATTAACTGAGAAAACTAATTACAAAAACTCCCTGACCCGCCACCAAACTGACAGAAATTCAATTAAGCGGCAATTGCCGCCCCTTGCAGATCGTGGGAAAATCTATATATCCACCTACTTGTATAGTTAACATCTAGCCAAATGGGCAAACAAAGAATTTATTCGATCGCTAAGCTAATAAAATAGCGACAGCTGTAAGTTACTCGCCAAAAACATAAATATTAGCCAGTAAATCGTCGACAAATTGCCATCTTCATCTTCATCGAGCGGAGCCCACGCGGCGTATGCTTGATGTGCGGCATTTAAGCAATTTGCTAATTAATAATGGGTTGGCCAGCGATTCAAATCAATCGGATTCGACTTGCAAATGCCTTAATTAATTAATATGCATAATAAACGGCAATTATGGCTGTGGGAAAGGTGTGCAAATGATGAATGGCGAACTTATGAACTGCACTAGGAAAAATATAAAATATTTACTTTGAAATTTGGAGAAATATTTATTTAAATCTATACAAATAAATAAATAAATGGAGATTTAATGGTGATTTTTCCGTTACAAACAAGTGGCAGTTCAAACAAATGTCACTTGTTTAAGAATGGAAAACTGGCACTCCTCTTTCAGATTTTCTGCTTTTGAGGCCATTTGTCAACGCGCCCTGCCAAAATATTCGACGGAAATTAGAAACTGAAAATCAGAAAATTCTTTGAGCCCGCCTATAAAGTGGAAAAAAAAATCCAAATACCAAAAAAAAAAAAAACAGAACCAATCCAGAGAGTTGAAAATCCAGTCAAGCACCCACACACAATCCAATGTTTGTTGTCTTAAACTGTGTTGCCAATAAACGCGGGCCATGAAAATTTGTACAAGCCACGGATTTCGGGGTCTACAAATCTGGCGACAAGCGCAAAATCACCAGAAATCACTTCCAAAAAAAAACCGAAAACCAGAAAAAAATAAGGTTTACACACACTTGGCATCCAATTGTGGCCTTATTTTCTGTGCGGCTTTTTCGGGCTATTTGCGTTTCGTGCCGCTGAAAACTTTATTAATATCCAAATCGTGAGCTTAATTGAAATTTATTGTTAATGAAAACAAAATTATGGCCGGTACACCGAACTATGGCCACTTGACACGATAGAACAACGCCAGAGCAGAGAATCCGAAACTGAATCGAACCAAACCGAATCGCCCACCGAAGTCACGAGTTTCTAAAGCCAAAAGAAGGGTGCCCATTTTTAATTTGGCATTTAAGCGCTCATTAAGTTGACAGAAGGCGACGGCTGAGTGACAGAATCGGTGGATAGATTGGTGGGTGGATATATGTGGCCATGCAGAATGTGTTATGCAGAACTGGCCAATTTACAAAGGTGTCTGAAAAAGTATTTGAGTTTATCGAAATGTGTGCTAGATAGATTTCTTGGGTTTAGGGTTATCTATAAAGACTTATTTTTATTTAACTTGAATTATTCAAAATTGATTTATTTTTCACATGCCTTAAATACACTTTACCAACACTGGTGAGTCATGACCACTACGCCATCGACTCGAGTTCTTTTTGAAGCCCTTTTTTTTTGGTGGGCAAATATTTACAATCGAACTTCTACAAACCCATCATCGACCCAAACTTTTCTTGCCGCCGGCGGCTTCTGTTTGCCTAAGCACTTTGAAGTCTGTGGTGGCTTTTCAGCTTTTCAGATTTTCAGCCTTTTAGCCTTTCACAGTTGCCAACTAATGCAAATAAATTGTGAGCAGTCACCTGTCAAGCGGGCTCATCAAGTCCCTCCGTTTTGGCTGCCTTTTTATGCCACCAGAGTGGCAGAAAAAACCCAGAGGAGACTGCCGTTTTGCGCCGAGGAAGCGATTGTTGTGTGTCCCTCAAACAAAGTAATGTTTTGGCGGATGTAACCTGTGCATTCATTGCATAAATGCACTGATAAAAAATATTTTTGTAATTTTTTAAAAGCCGTACATGAGATGTTTGCACTTCCCATGAAAGGCTTGGTATTTGACAAGATTTTGAACTCTAAAAACTTTTTATAAGAGTTTTTACATTGCATTTCTAAGATGTCTGTTATGTTTGAGTTTTTTAAAAGTCCTTATAGAGTGTATTTAAAATTAATTCAAATATATTTTCGTATTTCTTTGTACTTATAGTCTCGGCACATTAGTGGTAGCTCCTTTTAAGGACCTTTTTGTTTTTCCAAGTGTTTTTGGCAGCTACCGTTTATTGTTTGCCGTTCTCATTTGGATCTTTGCACGGCAGTTCCTCTCTCTCCGGGGTAAAACTGTCAATGTTAATGCTGGAAACTTGAAAAATTTCAACAAGCGACGCGACTGCGTTGTATTTGTCGTTTTGTAATGATTTTAATGCCAAGCATAAACAATTATTTTCAATTGCAACACATTCTTTTGTTGTTCGTCGGCCGCCATTTGCCATCGTTTGTTTTCGGTTTTCTGTTTTCTGTTTTCTGTTTTGTCTTTTGTGTTTTATATTTTGTGTTGTGTTTTGTGTGCAATTGGAATTGTAGATTTAAGATGTCGCAGATGTTCGGATGACTCGCTCGCTGGCTGCACAAGTTTTTCCCATCTGACAGCTCGATGAGTCAGTCACTCGGGCGAGCAGTCAGTCAGTCAGTCAATCAGTCAATCGGATACTCGATTGATTGCCAACTTAGTCGGCAGCACGTGTCGCGCAAAAAGTGCGTTGGCCAGCTGCACTAAAGCGATTATTGTCATTAAAATAACTGACAAATTCTGAGATTTGTGTATCAGAAAATGCGAAATAATTTTTGTCCGTCCGTCCGTCTTTCCGTCCGTCTATCTATCCGTTTTTACGCAAACTAGTCTGTCTTGTTTTAGTTTTAATTATAAATTAAAATATTGTAATAATTTATTTCAAATTTTCTGGCAATAAATAACAATCAGTCGAGGGAAAAATCGTCCGCTTCATAATTATATCATTTTTTCGAAGTCCTTTGCTCCTTTGTGCAGCTTGCATTACGCAAAACTTTTCTCCAGTTCTTCGGAGTGCAACAAAAGGCAGAGGAGGCAGCAAAGTGTTAATGGTCATTGTTCAAACAAGCGATCATAATGATTACTCATGTCAATTATTATATAAGACAGATGTCGGCATGCGGCGAAAGCCTCAAAGAGCCAGCAAAAGCCAAAGGAAAAAAAACAGCAGAAGCTGAAGCAGAAAATATAAAAACAACGAAACGGAGGCAACCGAACTGCAATTGATTTTGTTGTATAATTTCTACAGCTTTATCTTGTCGGCAGCTGCATGAAATTTATTGAAGATGCGCTGTGCTTTATTGCCATCGGTTTTTTTTTCTGGTTTTTTTTTTGTACTGTTTTTTGTTTTTGACTGGCTTGGGGGAATTGCTGCTGTAATTTAACGACACAGAGGAAATTTCGCAAAACGAAAGACTTAAGGCACGAACTTTGGTTTTATTTCTGACCGATCTTCTGGGGCTTTGCGCCATAAAACTTATCGCCCCTGATCTTAATTACTTGTGAGCTTTACTGTCCCTTATTTATCTCTCTTGGCTCAACGATTTATTGCCTTGCTGATGGGCTGTGTAAAATGATGGATCTGAAAGGAATCATTTTTCTGCTATATCAGCACGGCTATACTATATTTCGAAATTCTTTTTTCATGGCCTTGCCATTTCGCTTTTCACTTTCTACTGCAATTTTCGTTCGGTAATCTAATTGGGTTATCCAATTGAGCGGCAAACCATAAGGGTTGTGTTCATGTCGGCGAAAGCA